AGTGTTTCAGGTTTTCTACATAGAGTATCATGTCACCTGTGAATAGTGAAGGTTTGACGTCTTCCTTGCCAATTGGGATCACTTACTTCTTTTTTGTCTGATTGCTGAGGCTAGTACATTCCAGTACTACATTAAATAATGATGAGAATGTCTTGTTCCTGACTGTAGAGGAAAAGCTGTCAGTTTTTCCTCATTGAGTATGATATTAGCTGTGGGTCTTTCATATTATGGCCTTTATGATGTTAAGGCAAGTTCCTTCTATGCTCACTTTTTTGATGGTTTTTATCAAGAATGGATGCTGTACTTTGTCAAATACTTTTTGTGCATCTGTTGAGAGGATCATACAGTTCTTATCCTTTCTTGTATTAATTTAGTGTATCACATTGCTTAAATTGCAAATATTAAATTCCCTTTGCAGCCCAGGAATAAACCCCACTTGATCGTGGTGAGTAATCTTCAAAAGTACTGTTGGATTTAATTTACTGGTATCTTGTTGAGAATTTTTGCATCCATATTCATCAGGGATATTGGCTTATAATTCTCCTTTTTGTGGGGTCTTTGGTTTTGGAATCAAGGTAATGCTGGCCTCATAGAATGAGTTTGGAAGTTTTCCTTCCATTTCTATTTTTTGGAACAGTTTAAGAAGAGTAAGTATTAACTATTCTTTAAATGTTTGGCCTGGCTGGCTTAGTTGTTTAAGCATCTGATTCTTGATTTTGGCTCAGGTCACAATCTCATATTGTAGGATTGAGCCTGCATCAGGCTCCATGCTGGGTATGGAGCCTGCTTAAGATTCTCTCTCTCCGTCTCCCTCTGTCCCTTTCCAACTTGCATGCACGTGCTCTCTCAAAAAAAAAAAAAAAAAAAAAAAAAAAAAAAAAAAAAAAAGTAAAATTCCCTTGGGAAACTGAGGATATGTGCTTTTTAAACCATACTCACATTTATTTTAGTGAAGAAAAATAAACTAATGTTTATCTCTAATTGATAGTTTATTTTTCCTTCTGACCATACTAGAATGAAGAATTACTGGCTGAAAAAAGCAATATATTTTCTCAAACACTGGGGTTTATGGAGAAGTTAACATAACTTGAAAGAAGAATACACACACATAGTACAAACCATGTGGTGTCTCCTTTATTACAAAGAAGCCTTTTACATAGATCCACCCCTCTAAAGTAGTTGATTTGTTTATTGTTTTTAGTGGTTGGAGATGAAATAGGTGGAACCAAAATATAGAAAACTGTGCTAGTGATCACCTTTTAAATATTCTACCTAATTCCACAAAGTATTTATTAGTTATCACCTTTTAAATATTCTACCTAATTCCACAAAGTATTTGAGGTAAAAGGTCCATTTTGTATATTCTCATGACTTTGGAATATTTCTGTTTAGGGTAGAGTTTCCTAAATATTTTGATATGAGTTAAAAATACATTTTTTTTAATTTTTTTTTCAACGTTTATTTATTTTTGGGACAGAGAGAGACAGAGCATGAACAGGGGAGGGGCAGAGAGAGAGGGAGACACAGAATCGGAAACAGGCTCCAGGCTCTGAGCCATCAGCCCAGAGCCTGACGCGGGGCTCGAACTCACGGACAACCGCGAGATCGTGACCTGGCTGAAGTCAGACGCTTAACCGACTGCGCCACCCAGGCGCCCCTCCATAGTGATTTTAAAATTTGGGTGGGCAAATATTGGAGTTTCCTTGATTTATATCTCAAGGCCTGGGAGTAATTATTTAGCATTTCATGCTTTGCCCTCTGTGCTTTTGTTCCTTCCTCTGAGTCATCCTTCCTTTTTCATGAAGTATGTTTGCGTGTGAGTGATTTTCTCAGTCGGCTGCCTGACAGAATTTTGGGGGTCCAGTGGTCTCTTTTTACCTTGTACTGTCATTGTTCCTTTCAGTTCAGTTTAGCAGTGTGCTTGCTATTATTGTTATTATTCTCTCAAAAATTTTGTCAGCCTCCTGTGAATCACATTGGGGTTTATTCCATTAGATAAAAGCCACATCCAAGAATCTCTTCAAAATGTGGGCTTCCACAGAGATACTGAGGTAAAATGCACTCAAGCTTTCTGAAGTATTGACTGTTGATTGAGAGGATCTGTGAAACATACTTTTAATCTTTTTAAAGGATTGTTTGTATAATTGATTATTATTATTATTATTATTATAAGGTACCACTGTTGATCTTTCTGTGGTCTTTGCAGTCACCTCTCAGCTTCATTTTTAGGCCATGTTCTGCCAATGCTCTTGGATTCAAACTTTGTTTGAAAGCTATTCCCACCTTTAACATCTTTTGTCATCTGGGGGGGCTAAGAATTTTCTTTTTCTTTTTTTTTCTTTTTTGAATTTTTATTCTTCCGAGATTTTATTTAAATTCAAGTTAGTTAATGTATAGTGTAGTATTGGTTTCAGGAGTAGAATTTAGTGATTTGTCACTTACATATAACATCCAGTGCTCATCACAAGTGCCCTTCTTAATGCCCATCACCCATCTAGCCCATCCCCACCCACCTCCCCTCCAGCAACCCTTAGTTTTGTTCTCTATAGTTAAGAGTCTCTTATGGTTTGGAGTGGCTAAGAATTTTCAAAACTATTTGTGCCCTGGTCTTGTTTGTTTAACAGTCCTTTCTTTAGATTAGTTTATCTTTATTCTCTTGCATTTTACAGTAAGTGAAAAAAAAAAAGTAGCACTTACAATACTTTAACCTGCTTAGAAATCTTAAATCCCTCAGTTCATTAAGGCACATTTCTTACTTTGCATGCACATTACTGAAGGTGATGGTATTGCTAAGTTTCTACAACTACTTATCAAGGATCCTCCTTCTTCCAATTTCTTTTTTTTATTTAAAAAAATTTTTTTAATGTTTATTTATTTTTGAGAGAGATAGAGACAGATATGAGTCAGAGAGGGGCAGAAAGAGAGGGAGATACAGAATCTGAAGCAGGCTCCAGGCTCTGAGCTGTCAGCACAGAGCCTGACGTGGGGCTCGAACCCACAGACTGTTGGGATCATGATCTGAGCTGAAGCCAGACGCTTAACCGACTGAGCCACCCAGGTGCCCCTCCTTCTTCCAGTTTCTAAATACATTTTCCTCACTTCATCTGAGTCCTTGTGGAAAGCATACTCAGCTTTCTACTAACAGTCTGTTCAAGGCAATTTAGGCTTTCTCTAACATGCGCTTGAAAATCCTTCCAGCCTCTGCTTCACTGCCAAGTTCCAAAGCTACTCCTACATTTTTAAGTATTTATTATGGCAGCACCCCTCTTTTAGCTTTCAACATCTGTGCTAGTTACCTCTTCCTGTGTAACAAATTACCTCAAAACTTAGCAGCTGAAAGCAACAAACACTTATTATCTTACAGTTGGATGAGTCAGGAATCTTGGTGTGGCTTAACTGGATCCTCTGCCTCAAGACCTCTTATGATGTTGTTACGAAGCTGTCAGTTGGGGCTGTGGGGTCATTTAAAGGTTCCACTAAGGGACAGTCTGCTTCCTAGCTCACTCATGGTTGCTGGCAGGATTTGAGTTCAGATCCTGTTCATTAGAGGCCTCTATTGATTCCTTCCTAGTGTGCTTCTTAGGCATTTGGCTGATGGCTTCCGTCAGAGCAGAAAAGGACTACCAAGACAGAAACCAGAATCCCTTTGTAACCTAATCTTGGAAACAACATCCCATCACTTTTGCCTTATTTTCTGTGTTAAATTATTAGGTCCAACCTATGCATGAAGGGAAGAGATTATATAAGGGCTTGAATACCAGGAGTCAGGGATCTTTGAAAGCCACCTTAGAAGCTATATGATCTTTGGCCGCTGTTTGCATGTGATGGTGAATCTGCATTTACTGGGTTTGAAAATTGGAAGAGAGTGTCTAGAACACACCGATGAAATAATATTTACATAACACATTTAAAAGGATCTTTATAACTTTGTAACTTACTGAGACTTGAAAATAATTTTAGGAGCTTAATTTCTCCACACAAACCAAGTTTTATTTCTACACAATTGTACTCCTTGTTCATATCCTCACATGAAGGAATATAAGACTCTTTGATTTTTGCAATCAAAATACATCTGACTGTTGACAAATGAATCAAGTGATTTGTTTGCTTTTTCTCAGGTGCTGATGATACATGTCGGTATTTACAGGATGTAAGAAATTAAATAAATGAGTTCATTTACCCTAGATTATTTGTGAGATAAAATTTATTCCTTTACTCTTTTAGTAGTTTTGGAATTCTGACAGAAGAGGTAACCTTGATTACATTTTCAGTACAGTAAACATAGGTCGTATGGGTCTAGGAATAAGTCTATAAACACACATATGAAGAAAAATCCTATGAATTTTGGTATTGGGGGAAAGGGGGCTGGGAAGAGCAGTTCCAGTATCCTATACTTTTCCTGGAAAATATGTTTTCATCAAAAGACTTCTGAAACCTTTTTCTTTGTTAGTCATACTTCAATGTGTTCATTATTCCTGCCCCAAACTCTTTGACTCTTGGCACAGAAACTATTTTAATCTAACAGACATGGCAGCACGGCCTGAAAAATAACAGTAATAACTTTTTTCCACAGATTATTTCAGTGTTATTTTAGTTGGCTTAAAACTTGGCTTTGAGTGGTCTGATAAATACAACAATGTTTGTGTTAAAAATACATAGTATGTTTAAGCAACTTTTTCATTTATGGATTATAGAAGTATCATTATTTTTCATCCACGTTTCCCAGAGAGTATGGTGGTTTGTTTTGTAGTTATACTAGAGAACATTAAGGTGGAATATTGGAAGAGAGTTTGTATAGATGACTAAAGGTAGTTATTTCAGTTTCAGCTAATTCTCTTATTAGATTTGTACTACTGAGAAGAATTGCCAACAACAATAACAGTGTTATTAAATAATATTGTGAATATCCAACCATGTTATAGAAAACCATATATTATAATAGTTCATTTTTAGACTTTCCCTAATATATAAAATTGTCTTTTTTTCTCTCTCTTTTACAGGCAATATAACATTACACAGCAATATGGGCAACATCACAGTAGGTATGTGCTAAGCTGCTAGTTGGTAAATTTTGCATGCTTTTAAAAATAGTTATATTTGTGATATTTTATAAATAAAATCTGAAGTTTAGCTCATGAATCTGATATGTTCCTGATATGCAAGTCAAATATAGGCAGACCCAATGTATGACTATGTAAAATTGTTTCTGAAAATTCATTGACTCATCATCCTGTATATATTATATAATTATAGATTTGGTATCAATAAGAATAAAGTTAGAATTCTGACTTCACCACTTTCTTTTTTTAAAGTTTATTTATTTATTTGAGGGAGACAGAGACAGGGAGAGTGGGTGAAGGGCAGAGAGAGAGAGAGAGAGAATCCCAAGCAAGCTCTGCATTGCCAGTGCAGAGCCCTATGGGGCTTGAATTCGTGAAACTACAAGATCATGACCTGAGCAAAATCAAAAGTTGGGACACTTAACTGACTGATTCACCCAGGTGCTCCTGATTTCACCACTTTCTATACATGGGCTAATTACCTAACTTCTCTGTGCTTCAATTTGCACATCTGAAAAAAATAGAAATTATAATAAGTACCTATTGTAGAGGGTTATTGTAAGAAGTGAGATCATATATATAAAGTACTTTAGCATGGTGTCTGACATATGGTAAAAATTCAACAAATAATTGTCATTTTAATTATTGTTCCAATCCCAGGCCAGAGCTAATAGTGGCTAATGGTACTTAAGACCTCTTCACTACATGTGATGCTGTGCCTGTGGGAGAAAAGTTCAGCTTTCCAGATAGTTTAGATAGAGTTTTTCTCTATCCCAAGGAGCACCTGCTTACCTATAGGCAAAGGCATAAGAGTGGTGGTTGTTTTTAGGCCTTAGAGGGTTGGGAGTATGGATGGAAAATGAGGACCTTTGAGGGGAGGCTGTGGCTTATTGCCAGGATGAATGCCCAGGGCCTCTTGGCTTTGTCCTTTTCGATGGTTTAAATTTTTCCTTTCTTTGTACTGATTTTAATAGTGAACATGTCCATTAGTCCTTTGCACTATCACTCCTAGATTTTCTGACTTAAAGTACATATCTTTTTAAATAATTTTCCAGAGATTATAACTTTTATGTTCAATGAGGGACTAAGTTGAAAATAAAGGCTTCTTTCATGATAGTTGTAAATCATTTTAACTAAGACAAGACAGAAAGATTTACCTGTGTTCCAGTGGAAGATTGAGATTTACTGTTAACTATTCATGCCATTTCATCAGAGGACACACCTAAGTATAGTAAAGGAAGTTTCTAGTGTGAACAAAAAGGTATGCTGGTAAGAAGCTGAGCCAGCTGGGGAGAGAAAATGCTAGACATGGGTGGCATTTGTAGCATTAAGGCAAGTGGGGAAAGAAGAAGAATGTTGCAAAATGAGGCACAGGGAATTTCATTACCAACTAGAAGGCCTTTTAGGCAGATATGAATTTGAGGACTATTTATAATACAATATGATATGATCATGCTAGTATTATTCTTGGATGGAAATGTGAAACATAAATGAAAAACCCTTCTCTCTAAAAGTGGAAATAAATGGTTATTTATCCATACTGGAAAAGAATAGTAGTAGCAAGGATGAAATGAGCAGCAATTTACATCTCTGAACATGGTTTCAAACTGTACAAATGATTAACATTATGAATTCTTGTAAATTTTTCATATGAACTTTTTCTCACTGTTAAGTACTAGAGGGATTTTAAGATGAAATGTTTTCTTTTTCTTTGATAAATCTCTGTCCACTCAAAGAAAATGACCTGAGTACAGTGTTAAGAACTATAATTTAGGGGCGCCTGGGTGGCGCAGTCGGTTAAGCGTCCGACTTCAGCCAGGTCACGATCTCGCGGTCCATGAGTTCGAGCCCCGCGTCCGGCTCTGGGCTGATGGCTCAGAGCCTGGAGCCTGTTTCCGATTCTGTGTCTCCCTCTCTCTCTGCCCCTCCCCCGTTCATGCTCTGTCTCTCTCTGTCCCAAAAATAAATAAACGTTGAAAAAAAAAATTAAAAAAAAAATCCACAAATATATGAAGGTAAATAAAGCTTGAATTCTTATTTTGTAAATATCATTGATAAACTTTGAGTTTTATTTTGGAAGAATCTCTTACAATAAGAAAAAAAGTTTTACATTTGTTAAGTTATCATATTTTGATCTCTGGTAGTGTGGAAAAGTATAGACTTTAGAAATAGATTTGGTGGTAAATTTTGGTCCTACCATATATTAGCTGTGTGACTTTCTCAAATTACCAAGTCTCTGAGTTTGCATTTTTTTTTTACATAAAATGGATGCCATTTACATAGCACAAGGTTGTTGAGATAATAATTAAAGTAGTACTAATAGCCTACTGTAGACTGAAAGCCTTACCAATAACACAAACTGTCATTTAACATGTATTGTGTATGCTATATGCATTATATATTGTATTCTTACAATACAGTAAGCAAGGGAAAAGAAAATGTTAAGAAAATCATTAGGAAGAGAAAATACATTTACAGTACTGTACTGTATATTTATAGAAAAAAATCCACTTTTCAGTGGCCCCACACAGTTCAAACCCATGTTGTTCAAGGGTCAACAGTATATAAAATACATCGCAATGCATGGTAGTTATTCAATAAATTATCCCTCTCTTTCTCCTCTTCCAGTTTATTATCTATAATATAGAACAAGTCACTATGTTTTAAACTTAATTATTAAGGAAGTGTTCATTTCATATATTCCTTTATTTCTTTCAATATCTACATTAATACTTTGGAAGAAAGGTATAAATTATGTCTTTATTTACTGCTCTCAAGATTCTGTTAACATTTGAAGACAACCTTGAGTATGGCAGTAACTAGTCAACATGTATTTATTGAGTGCCTGTTGTATCTCAGGAACTCTTTTAGGTACTGACCATAATATTGGTCAACAAAAACATAGTCTCCATGCTTACCTTCAGCCTGAGAAGAAAGACAATAAGCATGCAAATAACCAAAGATAACTTCAGATTGTGCAATGAATAAATAAGAGAGGGTAATAGGATAGAGAATGGGGAAAACAAAGTTACTTCAGTTAGTAATCAGGGAGGGTCTGAAGAAGGGACACTTGAACTCAAGCCAGAATAATGGGAAAGAGGCTCATAAAATTTTGGATGCAGAGCTCCCCAGATAGAGGAGTAGCTAGCGCAAGCCCTGAAAATGGAATGGATCTATCATTTTCAAGATACAGATACAGAAGCAGAACTCGTGGAGAGTTGTGGGAGATAAGGTACGTGAGGGCTAGATCATAGGGCCTTTATAGACATTGCGAGAGTTGGGACTTAATTTCAGCTACAACAGGTGTTAGCAGGCAAGTAATATTTAATTTTTTTTAAAGAGCAACCTAGCTGTTGTTTTGTAATGTACCAGAGGGTGCAAAAGTGGAAGTAGGTAACCAGAAAGCTTAATTTGTTTATCCATTCTCCTGTTGTTGGATACCTTGGCTATGTCTAATTTTTGGCATTTATAAATAAAACTGGTATGAACGTTCTTAGACAAGTCATTTTATGAAGACATATATGGATGATATATATTTTTTTCCCCTTCTTGGGTAAATACCTAGGAATAGAATCACTGATTTGAGTAGGTATGATAAACTTCCAGACTTTTCCCCCAAAGTTCCCTTTTACACTCCTTTCTACAACATATGACAATTCTAGTTGTTCCACATCCTCACCAACATTTTTGTCAGTCTTTTATTTTTTTTTAATGTTTATTTATTTGTTTGAGAGAGAAAGAGAATGCCTGTGTGTGCATACAGGAGAAAAGCAGAGAGAGAATCCCAAGTAGGCTCCATGCTGTCAGCATAGAACCAAACAGAGGGTTCGAACTCACAAACCGTGAGATCATAACCTGAGCTGAAATCCAGAGTCAGCCACCCAACCACCTGGCACCCAGGTGCCCCTGTCAGTCTTCTAATTTTACCCGTGTGCAGTGGTATCCCTCTGGTATTATTTTACATTTCCCTGATGACTAATGATGTTCAGTACTTTTCATGCACTTACTGCTTATTAGTATATCTTTGTGAAATTTTGTTCAGGTCTTTTGCTCATTTACTTTTCAGTTGGATTGTCTTTTTGTTACTGAGTTGGAGGAGTTCTTTATATATTCTGGGAACAATCCTTTGTAACCTTGTTTTTCTGTTTTTTCCCTCAGCTTGTGGCTTGCCTGGTCGGTCAGTCATTCTGTTTTCTTTTCTTTTCTTTTCTTTTCTTTTCTTTTCTTTTCTTTTCTTTTCTTTTTTCCTTTTCTCTTTTCTTTTCTTTTCTTTTCTTTCTTTCGACTGAGAGAGTGTGGGCAGAGGGAGTGGGAGAGAGAGAATCTTAAAGCAGGTTCCACAGTCAACCTGACACGGGGCTCAATCTCACAACTGAAAACATGACCTGAGCCGAAATCAAGAGTTGGACACTTAACCAACCAACTGACCCACCCAGGTGCCCCTGTCTGTTCATTTTCTTAATGGTGTATTTGGATGAGAAGATTTCCATTTTGATGAAGTCTAATTTACCAATTATTTTTATGGCTATTGATTTCTGTGTCCTGAGAAATCTTTGGCTGCCTTCAATCATGAAGCTGTCCTATGTTTTCCTCTAGCAGCTTTCAAATTTTTGCTTTTACCTTTGATCAATTTCTAATTTTTGTGTTTAATCTGAGTCAGGAAATCCGGATTTATTTTTTCCCATCTGGATGTTATTGTTACATCACCATTTGTTGACAAAACTTTCTTTCTCCAATGTATTACTTCAGCATGTTTGTCTAGAATGAAATTACTGTATAAGTTAATAGATATTTTATTATTCTATTTTCTGTTTTGTCTGACTTTACATTCAGTAAGTGGTACTTTTCAAGGAATTTGTCTATTTTATCACATTGTCAAATTTGTTCACGTAATGCTGTGCAGAGTATTCCCTTATATTCCTGTTTATGCCTATAGGATCTGTAGTGGTATTTCTTTCCTCTTCATTGCTGATATTGATATA